CCTAAGTAGCTCCAAACATGCTAATTTTCCCTCCACTTGACATTTGTTATGCTTTTTTGTTTTGAATGACAACTGTTTATAAAAAAGTATAAACAGTTGTCATTCATTTTTAGGTCCTATCTTTTGTTTAGTACAACAAAAACACAGAATTATCATGATGAGAATACAAAGTAAAGTACCCAAAAAAATCATAAAAGCAGAAAAAGATGGTGATGGCAATAAGGTAATAATGTTGAGACTTTTTTGAGATTAAACGTCTCGAGCTTAACTTGATCTTTTTGTCACTGAGCTTAAACCCAACGTGCGCGTATGATACTTGTTTGAAATGTGGTTGTGTGGCAGGTGAGTCGCTAAAACACAGCCAAGTTAGTTCCAGCATCCCTCATAAAGGATTGTATGTGCCTCGTCTATAATCGCATATGAATCACAATAGCTGAACCATACTTTCAGACCAGAATGATGACAATCATCATCATGTCATCCAGGTATCTGTTGCATGTGCAAAGTACTGACTTATAAGTTTGTGGTGCCACAACATCTCCAACTGTGCCAGTGGCTTAAGCTCACTTAAACCATCATTCGTAGTGCTGCTTTTCCTTCTGATTACGCTGCTGCTGTGCAGAAAAAGGGACAGTCATACACCTCGACTGAAATCCAGCCACACTACTGCTGACTGCTTTTAAAAGGTTCCAAATCTATTTTTAAAAATGCAACTTAAAAGTATTTACTGACTTCGTCTGGATGCAGATCATCAACTTCTAGAGACGGTCAAGCTCTGAACCCTTGTTGAATATATGTATCCATGTGTAACTCTCCTTCCTTTGTCCTTCAGATATTGTGAACTGTGACCTCAAATCAACCCTGCGCGTCCTCTATAACCTCTTCTCCAGGTACAGAAACGTAGACTGAGCGTGACGTGCATCAGCAGGGAACACTATATAACATGGACCACGTTCTGAAGCTTAATACCTTTTTCCTTGTATTGCTATGAAAAACTATTTTTAACTCGGTGCATGCTTCACATTTTGCTTGTTGGATAGTAAATCAAACACAAGTCTGTCTTGTTTATTTTTGAAATTTCTGACTCTACAATATGAATTGAACATTGAGCTAAATAACAGCCGTTGTCGGTGTTTGATTACGACACAGAGGGAATCCTGTGAGGCGGATTTGTACGTTTTTAATTCAGAAAATAAAATGTTTAATTGTATTTATTGTACATTTTGATACACTGCTTGGTTTTCCAGTTTTTACTTTCGTTATTTCATTCATATTCCTTTTTATGAAATGTGGAAAGTGCCTTTATTTAAACATGCGACCACTGTCAGCTCTTAATACTGTGCTAACCAGCTACGCAGTGGTCTTAATGCTCCAGATTTCCTTCCAAACCATTTTGACCAAAGCTCTGGTTTGCTCAGCAGCTGCTCGCTTTACTGTATTTTATATTGTTAAATTTATCTTAGTATAAATTGCATATGCATTAATCACACTTTTTAAGTTTTCACATCTTTCTATAAGACCAGTTAAATTTGACTGAATATATTAAATATATGTTGTATTCTACTTTCAAGCCAATGTCACATCTGTGCAGACACGCTCTCTATAATGCATCTGTTTATGTTTTTAGTGCATTCAATTCAATAAATACTTCAATCCCTAAATGCAATGGCGTTTTTTTATGTCCCTCAAAGGAGGCAAAGAGGAAAGCTTTTCCAACAAAACAAAAATTGGGGTCAGATTGGTTCCAATTTTGTCCGCACAGAAAGACAAGTGAACC